CCAACCAACCCTACTCTGCCCATCAACCCTACTCTGCCCATCAACCCTACTCTGCCCAACCAACCCTACACAAACAACCCTACTCTGCCCAACCAACCCTACTCCGCCCAACCAACCCTACTGTGCCCAACCAACCATCCCTACTCCACCCAACCAACCCTACACAATCAACCCTACTCTGCCCAACCAACCCTACACAATCAACCCTACCCAACCAACCATCCCTACTTTACTCTGCCCAACCAACCATCCCTACTATACCCAACCAACCCAGCCTACGCAACCAACCCTATTGTACCCAACCATCCCTACTCCACCCAACCAACCCTACCCAATCAACCAACCCTACTCTGCCCAACCAACCCTACACAATCAACCCTACCCAACCAACCATCCCTACTTTACTCTGCCCAACCAACCAGCCCTACTCTACCCAACCAACCCTACCCAACCAGCCCTACTCTACCCAACCAACCCTACTCTACCCAACCAACCCTACCCAACCAGCCCTACTCTACCCAACCTTACTCTACCCAACCAACCATCCCTACTGTACCCAACCAACCAACCGTACTCTACCTAACCAACCAACCCTATGCAACCAGCCCTACCCTACTCAACCAACCATCCCTACTGTACCCAACCAACCCTACTCTACCCAACCAACCCTAATCTACGGAACCAACCAACCCTATGCACCCAGCCCTACCCTACTTAACTCCCTCTACTCTATCCAACCAATCCTACTCAACCCCACTCTACTCCACCCAACCCATTCTTAACCAACCAGCCCTACCCTATCCAATCAACCCCACCAACGTACATTTAGGAACACAGTAAAAATGATACAATAAAACAACGTAACTCAACACACAACATGCAAAAACCGGCCCATGGGGGGGAACTCGATGTTTTCACTGCTGGAGAATCGAGTTGGTGTTCCGCAAACACGGCTTGACTCTTCCTAGGACCGGGCTGTGTCTAGTCATGTCGATCCTCTTATTTTGAGGTTACACGGGACATAGAACAGATGGAGGGGTGGTCCTCTATGTGAGGTGTCATCCGATGGTCACGTGGGTGGAGCTTGTGATGGAGGAATTGCGGGTGGAATGATATACGGCTCTATGAACTGATGACTTATCATTGGAGTATACTACAGGCCCCGCCCCCCTCCTGAGCGTCAGCTCCTTAGACAAAGATCAATGTTGGTCACTTGTGGTAGCAAATGAATAAAAAGAAACACAATACAAATCTGAGTCGGACTTTTATTAATCAACTTACAAAGAATATAATGATTCTGAAGTATAAATATAGATTGGAATCTTCATTGGTTGACACTCTGACCGTGAGGTCTTCCTTTGAAGAGAGATCAGAATACGATGCTAGGAGGGACTCACCCAGCGGTGACACCCCCTCCCCATCTCTCCTAGCAGAGGACCCCAGACACAACTTTGAAGTCTTTAGTCAACTCTGATTTTCTTATAACGATCAGAGGAGAGCTCAGCCACGTGTTCACAGAGGTGTATATCAACGTGTGCTTCTTCCCAGTGTCAGATCTCTGATGTATTGCATAATGACTCACAGAGAAGACATTTCCCGCACCCCACAGACGCTTACATGTCTCAAAGGTTGTGTGGGGTTCTCTGGTGTTTGGCAAGACTGCACTGTTGTGAAAAACACTTCCCGCACTTGGGGCAGGAATACGGCTTCTCCCCCGTGTGGCATCTCTGATGTTTAGCCAGATCTGATTTACGTACAAAACATTTCTCGCACTCGGAGCAGGGATACGGCTTTTCCCCTGTGTGACATAGCTGATGAACTGAAAGATAAGACTTCTCAGAAAAACATTTCCCGCACTCTGTGCAGGAGTACGGCTTCTCTCCTCTGTGAGATCTCTGATGTCTGACAAGGGTTGATTTCAGCGAATAGCATTGCCCGCACTCAGGGCAGGCGTACGGCTTCTCTCCTGTGTGAGATCTTTGATGTGCGGCGAGTTCTGATTTTCGTGGATAGCTTTTCTTGCACTCGGGGCAGGAATAAGGCTTCATACCCGAGTGGCATCTCAGATGTACAGAAAGATGGGACTTCTGTGAAAAACATTTCCCGCACTCGGGACAGGAATACGGCTTCTCCCCCGTGTGAGACCTCTGGTGTGCAGCGAGATCTGGTTTGCGTAGAAAACGTTTCCCGCATTCAGTACAGGAAAACGGCTTTTCCCCGGTATGACATCTCTGATGTTCAGAAAGATAAAACATCCGCGAAAAACATTTCCCGCATTCAGAACAGGAATACGGCTTCTCACCTGTGTGAGTCCTTTCATGCCTGACAAGTGCCGATTTCAATGGGAAACATTTCCCGCACTCAGGACAGGAATACGGCATCTTGCCCGTATGATTTATTTGGTGTCTAATGAGTTGGGATTGCCACAGAAAACATTTACCACAATCCGAGCAGGAATACAGCTTCTCTCCAGTGTGAGACCTCTGATGCCTGACAAGAGCAGATTTCCACGGGTAACATTTCCCGCACACAGTACAGGAATACGGCTTCTCCCCTGTGTGAGATCTTAGATGCCTGACAAGTGCAGATTTCCGTGGGTAGCATTTCCCGCACTCGGGACAGGAATACGGCTTCTCCCCCCTGTGAGATATTTGGTGTTTTTCAAATTCTGATTCTCTGCAAAAACATTTTCCACACTCAGGACAGGAAAATATTTTTTGAAGGACGGCCCCGTCCCTCCCAGTCTGAGGTTCCCCAGGATAAGAGGAATACGATGGTCCGTCCACCTGATGGACATCATGGACTTCTCCTAGACTATACCTTGTGATGTCCTCGGCTTCTACTTTGCGCTCTGGAGACAACGTGAGACGTTCCTCTGAGATCTTCCCGACGTCCCGTCCGTGGACTACAAATAGAAAGAAGATTATGGTTAGATATGAGCGGGTTGGTTCATTTACATCAAGTTCAACTTCACATTGGTCACTGCCGAAGGATCCTCCACCGTCAACTGATAAACGAGTCCACTAGGTCTTCACCGTATCAGAGAGGGAGGACACCAACGAGAACTCTCTTCTATGGGAGTGACAGCGTTGTGGGTGTAGCCCTGCCGGCGGGGGACTATTGTTGCCACACCGCAGCCCATGTCTCCTCCTCAGGGCGGAGTCTGGCAGGGAGAGGAGGAGAAGATGGAATTGGCCACGTGGGTGGCTCCGAGTTTAAACCTCAACCACTGGACGGGTTAGAAAGATGGAAGGTGACACAGGGAGGTGGAGACTTTGGTGGCATCAGCAGTGGGAATTAGGCGCACCTCCAGCCCATGGGCTGGAGAGAGAGAGAGTGGGAGGTCCGTACCCAGTGGGCAGAAGGGTAAACAAAGGTGCAGGTTCGAAGCAAGCAGAGAGGGAACTGCAGTAGAGTCTTGTATGGTTCCACAGGACCACCAGGACAGATCCATATCGGTCCACATTGTACGTGGTAGGGACTTAGGTAGGGATGCATCAGGTTTTAACTGATCTGCAAAGAGCAACAACGCACCCCCAACAGAGAAGGCCAACCGTGAACACAAGACCTTCCACCGTGAACACGGATCAAAGACCTTCCACCGGAGTGGACTGTTACAAGCCCAAAACCCAGGCAACACTTGGACAGAAGAAGTTCCTCAGGCAATACAGGATCTTCTACACGATGATCTACAGGATCCTACAAAGCCAATACGAATTCTTCAAAGAGCCCCAGTGAAGGAGCCCAAGAGAACCAGGGGGGTATTTGAGACTCTCCGAGACCATTCACCTCTCCCATAGCGGTGGTCCCAAAGAAGAAAGGCTCCATAATGTGTATTGTACCTTAAAAAGAAGAACCAGACCAGTAGACCTCCCTACAAATAGAGGATGCACTTATTGCAGGGGCCCACCTGTATTTGGATGACCTGATTGCCTTTGGAGGAACGCTGGAGGGTCAGGAGCTTCGCTTGGAGAGAGTGCCGAGACAACTTTATGAAGAGGGGCGGAGGAACGCTGGAGGGTCAGGAGCTTCGCTTGGAGAGAGTGCCGAGACAACTTTATGAAGAGGGGCAGAAACTTTCTCTGGAAAACTAGCGGTTCTGCTGGCCACCCGTCACCTCTCTGGAGCACAGGAGTAGCCATTGACCCCAGGAAGTTGGAAGCTGTTGCCACCTGGTTAAGACTCCAGAGTACGGTAGAATTGAAGTGGTTTCTGGGGTTCTGCTTCTACTACCGGTGACTTGTCGAAGGCGTTGCCAAGATAGGTTGACCTCCCGCTGAACTATTGAGGAATAAGGGAGAGGAAGATGACTCTGGACCAGACCCACCAAACTAAAGGTCCCACGAGGTCTCGGGAGTCCATCCAGGAATCTTCTAACCCACGCCTTTGTCTTCGCTTAAGCTGATCCTGCTCGGCCCTAACAAACTACATGTGGATGTGAGCAGAGAAGGACTTTGGAGAGCATGATGGACAAGTCAGAACTGTTGTTTAGGCTGCACTGGAGCCTCACCACCTTAGGAAAGAACTATGTCCTTGCTTCTGTGTCTATACTAAATAAAGCTCAGTTCATTTGTAACAGGACCGGCCGTGCTACAACTATAAAACGGTGGGCGGAGGTGGAATTGAAGGGTTTAGACTGCAGGGGCCAGGATCAGGGCCCTCCTAACCTTCCGGTCTTCAATCCTAAGTGTATTTATAGAGTATTGTGGGTGTGTTATATAAATGATTACGGAGATAAAACAACCTAATTAAGGAAGAATCGGACTTCTTGTATCCGAGTGAAAACCAACAATTACCTGCCAGATGGAGCCCGTCATCTTCATGAACCCCGTCTAGATACATAATGCAGGACAGAGAACGAGGAATATCCGAGAGGCAGAAGATCTAATGTGCCGGAACGGGGGACACAGGTCAGAGAAGTGACCATTTCCTGCTTATTACAGGCCGATATCACTCAGTCCCCGCCCACTACTCTGGACCAATCAGTGAGCAGAGGAATGTATTTAGTGTTCATGACCCACCTGTGCTGATCTCTGTAGGCGTGTCCTCCTCTATGGATGTCCTCATCATTCCGGCCTCCTCCTCCGTATATCGCTGATCATCCCTCACATACGTCTCTTCGTCTTCTTCTGATTTCACCTCAATTTTTATATCCGTCAGATCTTCACCCTAAACCCAGAAAATGAGAGAGAACATCATCTTGTAGGATCCCCACAAGTCCTTCTCATGTTCTAGATTCTCCGTCCCACCAGCCTGATACCACCCTAAACCCAGACAATGATAGCAAATATTATCCCCATAGGTTCCATCCATTGTCTCCACAAGTCCCTTCCGTGTTCTAGATGTTCCGTCCCACCGACCTGATCATGGTGTCCGTAGCTGTGACCTTCCTGGGTCACAACTTTACTTTATGTTCCCTCCCCTCAACTCCACCTACCTGATCCTGGTGGGGGAGGGTGAGATCTTCCTGGGTGGGATCCCGGGAATACAGAGGACGGGGACATCTCCTGTAGCTGGATGACTCCTCCATGTTCTCCTGGTACAGATCTTTGTGTTCTTTGGGAAACTCCGACTCCTCCGTCACTCCGTCCTCATCAATCTCCTCTTTTATCTCTTCTTTAACAACGACTTCAAAACCACTCTGGAAACATAATAGTTACATTAATGGTAACAATGTAGATAAAGTTCAGATCCCAGAGATACCACCCGAGATTGTCCATCACCTACCTGATCATGGTGGAGGACGTTGAGATCTTCCTGGGTGGGATCCCGGGAATACAGGGGGCGGGGACATCTCTCATGGTGGGGGATGGTGAGATCTTCCTGGGTGGAGTCCCGGGAATACAGGGGGCGGGAACATCTCTCATGGTGGGGGATGGTAGGGTCTTCCCGGGTGGGATCCTGGGAATACAGGGGGCGGGGACATCTCTCTGGTGGGTTTATGTTATCAGGTGACTCCATCATATCCTGGTGTCCTCCTGAGACCTCCATCACCCCGTACTCCTCATCCTCCTTTTTACACTCTTCTTTAACATCAATATTATCACTCCCGAGGCCTCCACCCTGAAATATAATAAAACATAATTGTAACAACAGAACACATCATATCTATGAGTCCCTTTCATGTCCTAGATGTCCCATCCCACCGACCTGATCATGGTGGGGGATGGTAAGACCTTCCTGGGTGGAGTCCCGGGAATACAGAGGGCGGGGACATCTCTCTGGTGGCTCCATCATAATGTCCTTGTGTCCTTCAGATCCACCGACCTGATCATGGTGGGGGATGGTGAGATCTTCCTGGGTTGAGTCCCGGGAATACAGAGGGCGGGGACATCTCTCATGGTGGGGGATGGTGAGATCTTCCTGGGTGGAGTCCCGGGAATACAGGGGGCGGGGACATCTCTCTGGTGGGTTCCTCTTACTGGATCCATCTGTAGGAAACACACACACTGACTGAATACATTGTTTCTATGTGTGTATCAGATGATGGGGGATGTAGGCGGAGCCTCCGTACTGCTCTCTCCTCTTACCCGGTGATGTGAGGGGCGGGGCATTCTCCATCACCACGTCCTCGTAGGGATGCCCGTGCTCCTTCACGGAGAAATGAAGTCCTGACACCTTATAGGAACCTGACACACACGATGATACAGTCACTGAAACTTTACACAGAGCAGTTACGTTTTGGGGGAAGAATAAACTGACCTCTAACGCCTTGGGAAGGACGGGGCTACAATACATTGATACGAGTGCGTCGGGTGGGGGGAATATATCTTCCACGGAAC